GGGGAGAGAGACTCAGAGAGTGAGTCCGACCTCGACGTGATGGAGGCTCGTGGGCCAGGGCAAGCGACGCCGTTTGTGCGCGAGGAGGCGCCGACGGCACCCGGCAACGGGATTCCGGGGGACGGAGGCAGCGTTCCCCGGTCACCCCCTTTGGGAAGGGGCGCTTTCGGCGGAGGCAGTGACAGCCCCACCGACAGCAGCAGCAGCAGCAGCAGTGACGCCGGCGATGCCGGCGGCCCGGGCGGCGAAGAGTCCGGCGACCCAGGTGGGGACGGCGGTAGCGATGGTGATCCCGGCGACTCCGAGAACCTCGAGGAGTTGAAGTATGATCCAGCCGACGACCGCTAACCCCGCGGGCTAGAAGGGAAGAAACTCCTCTGGGGCGCCTCAGACGCTGGCCCGCTGCGCCATGGGCTTGAGAGTGGCCGCACGCGGAAGCAGACCCGAAGGATGCAAGGTGCCAGGGGGATGCCGGGGCCCGGAGAAACACCGGGCCCGGAAGAGGCATTGCTGGCGACTATCCTGGAAACTGGCGGGACGGGGATTGTTTAGGACTACATCTGCAACTCGCTTGTGAAGGAGCAGTGGGACGAGGAGCAGACACGCCGTATGGAGGAGATGTACAGGCGCGAGATGCAGGAGGTGTTGGGCCCGGAACAGCAGGCGTTCGGGGCCGAGGTCGACGCCAGCGGGTCTTCGCAACCACTCCCAGACCCACAGCTAAGTATGACCTCGCCAATCGGGCAGAAGCCGAGTGATGTGGAAGCAGTACCGATGACGTACAAGGATATGATGTGTTCCAAGTACAAGGTTTTCTGGGAGGCGGCCATGAAGAAAGAGATAGATGGCCACGACAAGACTGGAACCTTTACCAAGGTCAAGGAGCTGCCCGAGGGGCGGAAGGCCATAGGTTCAAAGTGGGTGTTATCTTGGAAGACGAATGAGAACGGTCTGACAGTCGACTTCAAGGCCCGTATGGTTGCGCGGGGTTTCTCTCAAATCCCCGGCATCGACTTCCACCACTCATCCTTAGCGTGCCCGTCTGCAGCGTCTATCAAGACGGTGATTGCCGTAGCCACTGAAAAGGGCAAGAAACTCGCTCAATGGGATGTGAAGCAAGCGTACATCCACGCTAAGCTAAAAGAAGAAATATACCTCAGGTTCCCGGAAGGCTGTGGTAGCATGTCCGGCAAGGTGGTCAAGGTTGAGCGTGCCCTGTATGGCCTAAAGCAGAGTGGCCGTGAGTGGTGGTTTGAAGCTGCCGATGCCCTCATCGAGAATGGATACGAGCAGTGCAGGGTTGACCCGTGTGTCTTCCGGAAGGTGGTGGATGGAGAGGTCGTAGGTCTCATCGTGATCTACGTTGATGACATCTTAGTGGCGGCAGACGAGGGAGAGCGAGAGGAGTTGTTCGCTTCCCTCAACAAGAAGTTTCCGGTGAAAGATCTGGGGGAGTGTACCTGGTACGACGGGTGTGCTATCGCCATGGATGTAGAAAATGGCATCACCAAGCTGTCCCAGACAGCATACATTGAGAGTATGCTGAAGCGGTTTGATGTGACCACGACCGCTTTCACCCCTGCTGCCACCGATGCCGACCTAGGGCCGAAGAGAGATGACGAGCCCGCGGTGGATAACCCTGTGAGGGAGGCGATCGGATGCCTGATANACGTTGATGACATCTTAGTGGCGGCAGACGAGGGAGAGCGAGAGGAATTGCTCGCTTCCCTCAAAAAGAAGTTTCCGGTGAAAGATCTGGGGGCGTGAACCTGGTACGACGGGTGTGCTATCGCCATGGATATAGAAAATGGCATCACCTAGCTGTCCCAGACAGCATACATTGAGAGTATGCTGAAGCGGTTTGATGTGACCACGAACGCTTTCACCCCTGCTGCCACCGATGCCGACCTAGGGCCGAAGAGAGATGACGAGCCCGCGGTGGATAAGCCTGTGAGGGAGGCGATCGGATGCCTGATGTGGACGAAGCTGACGAGGCCAGACATCGCCCTGCCTCTGAACAAGCTCCAGAAGATCGCCCACTCACCCACCGGGAGGATATGGAACGCGCTTGTGCGGATCATGTCCTACCTGAACTTCACGAAGGACTTCGGCATCACCTACGTACGGGGGTCAGGACTAGACCTAAGCGTGTTTGTCGATGCCAGCTACGCTGACAACGAAGTAGACAGGCGTTCTACGACCGGGTTAGCTGTGACCGTAGGTGGTACCGTAGTGTGTGCATCCACCAAGACGCAGCCAGTGACGGCTCAGTCCACCTCGGAAGCAGAGTATATGGCAGCCGGGGAGGGCGTTAAGGACGCGTTGTTTGGGCGTGGCGTTCTGTCGTTCATAGCGCCCGAGACGAGTGGGGCGAAGGTCAAGTCCTTGAGGACAACAAGGGGGCTCTCGCCTTAATCGAGAACCCGTTCAGCTCAGCGAGGAGCAAGCACATCGACGTGCGGTTCCATATCATTCGCGAGCTATTCAAGTCGGGCAAGATCAATGCAGAGTATGTTCCGACTGGAGAGCAGCACGCCGAATGGCTGACCAAGGTCCTTGGCAGAGAGAAGTTAAGAGTACCACCGGAAGGCTAAGGTGAACCTACCGATGTAGTGTTCTCTTGTTCTGTTTGGTTTATGTGGTGATTTTAGCACTTGGCATATATAACCATGGTACGTCACGCAGGAAGCGTTGTGCCGGCGCGTCACCCGCGGCTGGAGCCTAGAAACGCCGAGAGCGTTGCTTCGGGTGTGTAATCAGCGTGACCGGTTCAATCTGTCCTGCCTTGGTCTTGTCTTGGAAGTGCGGCCGTTGGAATCCTCCGTGATAGCGACGGTTTTCTATATTTAGTCCAGGGTGTTAGACGATGGTATTTGATCCGGTTGGCCGGGTTTTCCCTCGAGCCTGTTGTTGCTTTGAGTCCCTTTGGTAGATCAGGGGTATCCATGCCCCACGTTAGGTTTGGCATTCGCGTGCAAACCGGAGAGGGTGTTCGTGTGTTTGGATATGGACTGGTTAGATCTACCGGCAACAACAGAGGGCACGCAGATGGGGCATATGTACACCTTGAATGGTTGCATGTGCGGGGACCCCTCGAACTCCAAAGGGACTTCTTCTCCCTACTCCCCTTGCGTGTCAAATACAAGAGATAAAACGTCTTCCCCTTCCAAGTAAAGGACATATACGAACATGAAGTACTCGACTGGAGAGTCGATTTCGATTAGATGGATCATTTGGTATATGAGCAGTCTACATTTCGGTCACACGCATCCCTTGATCTGAAAGTTGAATTGGGTGACACGGCTCACTTGATCAAAGATTTTTTATTTTTTTTCGGGGATGGCGCTGACTGACAACACTATTTTCAATTTGAGAACATCTGTTCTCGAACTTCCAGAAAATAATGTTCCTTGTTCCAACCATCCTAGAATATCTCCGGAAGCTCGCTTTTCAACACTCAACGCTTCTGGCAAATTCATCTAATGCTATTGCTGCGGGTCAGTACGATGAGCATTGCCGATGACACCGTCCACAGATTGCGTTACTGACAACGAACCAAGACGGGATAGACAGTCGTACCATCAGTTTCGGTTAAAATATCCCTGACATACTGGGCTACTGTGCATATGGACACGTCAATTTCCCCGACATGGTATTGATCCAATCCCACGAAGCTCCTACAACAAATACTTGTTGTAAATCCACCAAAACGCTCCTTGAGTTACACGTCAAATGCATTGCCCACATGTGGCCGAAGCAAAAGCACATCACGGTTGCCTTGCGTGTTTTGACGGCCCTAAAGCCAGCAACGGCAATTTCCAATCGGACGGTTGGACTGTCCATGAAACACAGGCGCGGCAACACGGACGAGTTCCGAGGTGTCGGTGCCACTCCGAACGCCTAGCAGTCATGTGGCAAACACACGTTCAGTCTTTTGACAGGCAATTCTGGAGGGTGTTCTACCTCTCTGCACTTCAAGCTCTTCACACGTGCAACTGTGGAGGAGAACGACGATCCGGTTTGGATAATGACGGAAGAGTCCATCAGATACAGGTAGTCGATGAACGCGTTCAAGGCCGTGGCATTCGGATTCTTGCTGAAAGTCGTGTGGGCATCCAGATCGTCTATACCGAGGTCAACAAACCCTGCCGTAACATCGTGCTCAGCAGCAAGCGCGGTGCAATTGCGCGCCATGCTTTTGCTGCGAGAGCGAAAAAATGGCGGGAACATGTAAGAATGATATATGACGCAGGCGAGAAGCAACGGAGAAGCGGCAGACAGCACAATGCGAAAATTAGAAAAATCTGGCGTGTGGCGGCAAGTATGAATGGCACTATTCTGGTGTAGTGGATGGTGCAACACGGCGGTTTTCGTACACGGCGACCCTTCGATTTCAACAATACCCCCCAGGGTCGCAAACTACGGTAATAGGGAAAGGGGCACAGAGTACGGCAGTGATACCGATTCTTGGATCGCGACGACAGCATGCCGTACATACCTGTTCGACGATATGTATACTGGCATTTTAGGAGCGTCTTCGTGAAACATCTTCGGGCACATCTTCTCCGCGGCGTCGGTGGCAGACAGAAAAATCGGGACCACGGTAGTTGATGACTGCCCGTGTAAAATATAGGTGTGCACATCGGGATTGAAGGAATGCTCGCTCTNGAATGGATACGAGCAGTGCAGGGTTGACCCGTGTGTCTTCCGGAAGGTGGTGGATGGAGAGGTCGTAGGTCTCATCGTGATCTACGTTGATGACATCTTAGTGGCGGCAGACGAGGGAGAGCGAGAGGAATTGCTCGCTTCCCTCAAAAAGAAGTTTCCGGTGAAAGATCTGGGGGCGTGAACCTGGTACGACGGGTGTGCTATCGCCATGGATATAGAAAATGGCATCACCTAGCTGTCCCAGACAGCATACATTGAGAGTATGCTGAAGCGGTTTGATGTGACCACGAACGCTTTCACCCCTGCTGCCACCGATGCCGACCTAGGGCCGAAGAGAGATGACGAGCCCGCGGTGGATAACCCTGTGAGGGAGGCGATCGGATGCCTGATATGGACGAAGCTGACGAGGCCAGACATCGCCCTGCCTCTGAACAAGCTCCAGAAGATCGCCCACTCACCCACCGGGAGGATATGGAACGCGCTTGTGCGGATCATGTCCTACCTGAACTTCACGAAGGACTTCGGCATCACCTACGTACGGGGGTCACGACTAGACCTAAGCGTGTTTGTCGATGCCAGCTACGCTGACAACGAAGTAGACAGGCGTTCTACGACCGGGTTAGCTGTGACCGTAGGTGGTACCGTAGTGTGTGCATCCACCAAGACGCAGCCAGTGACGGCTCAGTCCACCTCGGAAGCAGAGTATATGGCAGCCGGGGAGGGCGTTAAGGACGCGTTGTTTGGGCGTGGCGTTCTGTCGTTCATAGCGCCCGAGACGAGTGGGGCGAAGGTCAAGTCCTTGAGGACAACAAGGGGGCTCTCGCCTTAATCGAGAACCCGTTCAGCTCAGCGAGGAGCAAGCACATCGACGTGCGGTTCCATATCATTCGCGAGCTATTCAAGTCGGGCAAGATCAATGCAGAGTATGTTCCGACTGGAGAGCAGCACGCCGAATGGCTGACCAAGGTCCTTGGCAGAGAGAAGTTAAGAGTACCACCGGAAGGCTAAGGTGAACCTACCGATGTAGTGTTCTCTTGTTCTGTTTGGTTTATGTGGTGATTTTAGCACTTGGCATATATAACCACGGTACGTCACGCAGGAAGCGTTGTGCCGGCGCGTCACCCGCGGCTGGAGCCTAGAAACGCCGAGAGCGTTGCTTCGGGTGTGTAATCAGCGTGACCGGTTCAATCTGTCCTGCCTTGGTCTTGTCTTGGAAGTGCGGCCGTTGGAATCCTCCGTGATAGCGACGGTTTTCTATATTTAGTCCAGGGTGTTAGACGATGGTATTTGATCCGGTTGGCCGGGTTTTCCCTCGAGCCTGTTGTTGCTTTGAGTCCCTTTGGTAGATCAGGGGTATCCATGCCCCACGTTAGGTTTGGCATTCGCGTGCAAACCGGAGAGGGTGTTCGTGTGTTTGGATATGGACTGGTTAGATCTACCGGCAACAACAGAGGGCACGCAGATGGGGCATATGTACACCTTGAATGGTTGCATGTGCGGGGACCCCTCGAACTCCAAAGGGACTTCTTCTCCCTACTCCCCTTGCGTGTCAAATACAAGAGATAAAACGTCTTCCCCTTCCAAGTAAAGGACATATACGAACATGAAGTACTCGACTGGAGAGTCGATTTCGATTAGATGGATCATTTGGTATATGAGCAGTCTACATTTCGGTCACACGCATCCCTTGATCTGAAAGTTGAATTGGGTGACACGGCTCACTTGATCAAAGATTTTTTATTTTTTTTCGGGGATGGCGCTGACTGACAACACTATTTTCAATTTGAGAACATCTGTTCTCGAACTTCCAGAAAATAATGTTCCTTGTTCCAACCATCCTAGAATATCTCCGGAAGCTCGCTTTTCAACACTCAACGCTTCTGGCAAATTCATCTAATGCTATTGCTGCGGGTCAGTACGATGAGCATTGCCGATGACACCGTCCACAGATTGCGTTACTGACAACGAACCAAGACGGGATAGACAGTCGTACCATCAGTTTCGGTTAAAATATCCCTGACATACTGGGCTACTGTGCATATGGACACGTCAATTTCCCCGACATGGTATTGATCCAATCCCACGAAGCTCCTACAACAAATACTTGTTGTAAATCCACCAAAACGCTCCTTGAGTTACACGTCAAATGCATTGCCCACATGTGGCCGAAGCAAAAGCACATCACGGTTGCCTTGCGTGTTTTGACGGCCCTAAAGCCAGCAACGGCAATTTCCAATCGGACGGTTGGACTGTCCATGAAACACAGGCGCGGCAACACGGACGAGTTCCGAGGTGTCGGTGCCACTCCGAACGCCTAGCAGTCATGTGGCAAACACACGTTCAGTCTTTTGACAGGCAATTCTGGAGGGTGTTCTACCTCTCTGCACTTCAAGCTCTTCACACGTGCAACTGTGGAGGAGAACGACGATCCGGTTTGGATAATGACGGAAGAGTCCATCAGATACAGGTAGTCGATGAACGCGTTCAAGGCCGTGGCATTCGGATTCTTGCTGAAAGTCGTGTGGGCATCCAGATCGTCTATACCGAGGTCAACAAACCCTGCCGTAACATCGTGCTCAGCAGCAAGCGCGGTGCAATTGCGCGCCATGCTTTTGCTGCGAGAGCGAAAAAATGGCGGGAACATGTAAGAATGATATATGACGCAGGCGAGAAGCAACGGAGAAGCGGCAGACAGCACAATGCGAAAATTAGAAAAATCTGGCGTGTGGCGGCAAGTATGAATGGCACTATTCTGGTGTAGTGGATGGTGCAACACGGCGGTTTTCGTACACGGCGACCCTTCGATTTCAACAATACCCCCCAGGGTCGCAAACTACGGTAATAGGGAAAGGGGCACAGAGTACGGCAGTGATACCGATTCTTGGATCGCGACGACAGCATGCCGTACATACCTGTTCGACGATATGTATACTGGCATTTTAGGAGCGTCTTCGTGAAACATCTTCGGGCACATCTTCTCCGCGGCGTCGGTGGCAGACAGAAAAATCGGGACCACGGTAGTTGATGACTGCCCGTGTAAAATATAGGTGTGCACATCGGGATTGAAGGAATGCTCGCTCTCCCCATCGGATGTCCTGACATGCCACGCCACATAGTCCTTGGGGCGAGGGCCGAAGCCAGAAGGCGTCCACGGATTGTGAGCCTCTAGGCTGGCTATCATCGAAGGGCTGCGCCAGCAATACCATATTTGGTTTCAGGTGGTCATGGGATAAGGATGGGATCATCATCTGATCAGTCCGGAAGCTGTCCGTAGGATTATGAAAAAGAAGCGCACAACAGCCCGGGGTCGATTTCCTTCCAGGTTTCCTTGCACGGCGAGTGATAACGCAAAGGTGCTACTGGCTGAGCCTACAGACGGCATTCCTTGAAGCACCTGTATCAACATTACAGGCGGGTAAACCAGATACTGGTATAGCGAGCATCGCTCACGGATAGCGACCCAGGTACTCTGCAAGGGGGCCAAGGCCCCCGTAACATACGGACGGCTGGTCTTGGAAAAAAATTGTACCCGTTATAGTTGGCGACGTCTATATGGTGAAAGTTAGTCATACAAAACAGAACAATATATTACGCTGATGTTGACGAGAGCTACCCGCCAATTTCGCGGCAAAAGACAGTCAGTCCCACCGCCGCCCGACGGGATCTACACGTCCCTTCAACCCGAATCCGGCCATGGGCGACTGCACACAAAGACTGACTTTCTGAAAGCAGACACAATTGTCAGGGAGCACCGTGCACGACCAAACGCCTGCCGTACCTGCGTCGCAGTAACATGTTCCATGCACATGTTTCGGGAGGAACAACCGCAGAGCCAGCGATAGCTTGGGAAAGACGTCGCAGACTGCTCCACCTCTCTTTCACTGCAACGGCCATTTCTGCCAAGCTTGTATCGGGGATGCCGGTTTGAATTGCAAGGGCTTCTAGCTGCTGGGAAGAGAGTACCAAATTACCATCCGAGAACTTCAAAGGGTAAAGACGGTCGACTTCGGCACCTGAATCACGAGTGTATGGGTAGTGAAACACCGGGAATCGGTTTGCAGTTAGCGTTAGTCAGGAAGCCAATTCTGTTTGCCTCGGCTCGGCCACAATTTCTAAGCGAACATAGTGTTCGCAGAGCGGGTTGCACGTCATTCACACTTTCGCACGTTACCAACCTAGAGTCAACTCTTCCGCCTTTTGAACAACCGTCGTCGGATCCAGGTCCCACTTGATTGATGCTGTGTCGAATGCCGCTCGAAATCCAGGAAATTTATCCCACTTGAGAAACAGCGCCACTTCGAGTAGCCTGGCCGTCTAGGAAAAGGCAAGAAAGGGGTGGAATCTCGTGACGTAGCGGGGTTAAACGTTTGATGGACAGGGCGTTCGACGAAGCAAGGCCGTGAAGTCGAATTTTCTCCTTGAACAACGGCCCCGACGCAACACCGGTAGCACATGTTGCGATGAGAACAGCATCGCGCTGACAACGGGAAGATTGAGATCATGTCATTGGTGGCGGTGTCACCAATCAAAAGACAGCTGCCCGTTTCGTTTATTTAACGCTGTGTCGAAGGCCACGAAAAACCTCCAACAGTGTTATATTTATTTTTCCGCCATGTTCGGATCACTTCCATGTTGAATGTGCCCCTCTCCAGAAAATCCAACAAACTCAAAAGGGTATCGGTTGTTCACGGAGAAAAACTATCCACCATCCTCATCGTTTGGCAACATGATGCGAGGAAATACGTGGTCAGGTCAGAATGGACGACCGGGCATTTATTATTGTCGGCTGGATAGGATCCTCAGCATGTCGACCAAAAATATGTCTTACCTCACGAGGGAGAATAATCACGTCACAATCACGAACATAATGGTATATGTCTTTCATCTATTTCCCCCCGAACACTTGCTTTCGTACCACGAACTGAAATAACGACACACTTCGCGCTTGCCTATCTTGTACAGGTGTAAGGTCATCTTATGAAATGTCACCCTGAATGAACTGCAGGATTACCACAGTATTTGCATGACACAGCCATCGCACTTTGTTTAACACAGCATGACCTTGATGAGGTTGCCGAGAGTGATGAATAAGTTGCCCACAGACGGAAAGATGTCAAACACGAGCACCGTGCCATTGGCGATGGCCGCCTCTTGAACAGCAGGCCAGGAAGTCCACAAAGGGTGACAATCGTCTCCCGTGGTGTGGACGAATCGATCATTTCCTTTCTCGGTTTCTTCCTGGAGCGCAACATCCACCGACGAGCCAAGCTCGGTAGAATCATTCTTCTTGGCCAGAGGCTTCACCTGCAGCTCGGTACTGACATTTCAGACAGACAAGTCAACGTAGTTTGGTGAGAATTCCATGGGACATGCGGCCCGAACATATTTTTCGTCGCCACGAAGAGTACATTCGGTATCGGCACAGGATTATACGCGACACAATCAGGCATTCAAAACGACAATGGCGAAGAGCGCCGCTAGAAACGTATATTGGTCGAACAGTCAGAATAAAAACGCGTTCATTGATGGAACAGTTTTGGATTGTGACTTCACTAGTTGTTCGAAAACCTGGGGTCAATAGGGAAGAAATTCGAACCCCGTTCTCTCTCATCCCTTTGAGAAGAGAGCGCGAACGCGAAGTGGTGTAGCATGCCGATGAGCGTGCGGAAGCTGCAGAGCGTGCAAGAAAAGGAAGGACAGCAGTGGCCGCGCAACGTAGGAAGCCGCAGTTACGCTTGATGCCGGTCGTCACGCGAGCGCGATCGACAGGCGAGGGTGGCGCCCCTCTCGACGAGGCCAAGATGGCCAGTCTCCGCAGACTGAAGTATGGGCAAAAGGACGAGCAGCAGCGGCAGCCCGACGAGACCGCAGATGATTAGCAACAACTGTGAGCGACGATTGGTCATCTGAACTGGTGAGGGTTCGCGAGGATTGTCGCAAGCACCTCGGCGAAGTGCGGCTCGACTTGACAATATCCCGGTCCGCGACATTCATCACCGACAACTACACAGCTTCCGCGTCGAAGTGGTTCGACGCCGTTATCAGATTTAAACCCACCCACTTCGCGCCGCCGGCCGTCACGGCGGACTTCCCGCCGGTGGTCACCATCGAACGGACGAAGACGTCTCGCTTCATCGGCAGGGGCGAGGGTCGGCACGGCAGTGTACCATCGCCCACTACGGGGCGGGCAGCAGTTTCTATCGCCGTCAAAAAGCGATGCCGCGGGTCTACCGCGGCAAACAGATTTGCGAGCTCGAGTATCGGCGGGGGCGGAGGCGAAGGCGGGGTTCTGACATCGCCGGACACCGCAACGGGGGATGGGGCCAGGGGCGGGACGCGCTTGGCAGGAGCGGACGGTAAAACTCCCAATGCTGCCGATTCCTTCACCCATTTAGCCGGCCAATAAAGGTGCCCGTCTGCGTAGCTGGGATGGAGGAGGCTACCCCAGGCAGCAGAGAGAAAACACGGACAACGGGACCCCAGGACGACCGAGCCAGCAGAAGCTGAGCTACTATCGATAAGCAGAGACGAAGTTACCAGACCGCAGTCAGGCGTGATAGCATACAGCGGTGCAGCTACTCTTGTGGTGGAGTTGTTGTCGTGTCATGCGACGTTTACCTGGCTCTGGACCGTTGGCTTCGTAGGGTCTTGGTAGAGCAGAAAGAGTGAAGTTTAGCACTGCCTTCGTGCGGCTAGGGATACGATCGCGAACCGGGGGATCAAGTTGGGATACCTTTGGCGGATTGGAGGGACGAAGGCTTCAGGTTGAGGGGGAGACATTGCAGTACGTGATATTCAGAGAGAGGAGCAATGATGGCGGGTGCGTACAAGCTGTGCAATAAAAACATCGTAGAGGATTCGCGACCGATGTGTTGGAACTCACGGGCGGTAGCAGCAAGGAGACAGCCGCGAGAGCGAACTGTACACAAAATTAGTCGACCTCGATATGGTTGTTGAAGAATGTTGTGTACAAATGGGGCTTGTTCTGTCGGATCTCCTACGTTTGCAGTCGTAGTCACCCGGCTGGTATTATTTGCGGGGAGTGAGACAGCTTTGAAAGAGTCAACGCCGCGCCTCGCAGTTAAGGTGGCTGGCAAGACGACGGGCGTTCCGTGTGTCTCACTCCCAAACGTGTCTTCTAGAAACCGTAGAAAATATTGAAGCAATTCGAAAGAAAACAACAATATAGCGGGGATAAATTCGTCGCGACAGAGAAAATTCAGAAAATGGCCTGTTCGAAAGAATAACCGTGGGACACAATTTCAGCCTAAAATGACGGGCAGACTCAGGGCTAACCTAACCTGAATCGTCGTTCAAAGGTTGACGGTCTGTGATGGTAAACATGGCTGTGACGAATGTTTGAAGCCACTCGGTTCCGGCGCAGGTTTCGAACTGTTTTCATAGACCGCGCGACCTTCGATGTTTCAACTCCAGTACAAATACCCAAAACATACCAGCACGCTCGACGTGTCTTACGGTGACCTCTACTGATCACCGCAGAAGCCCAATGCTAACCCCAACCGGGTGTTTTCTTTCTTTTCCAAACTCCAGGCGTGCCCTGCTGAATCGAACCACCGAAGAAGAAAAGCCGCACATAGACTATTCCCCAAAACTGTTTCTTCCGTGCCCTGGGCAGCGGGCAGCCGTTGCTTGACTGTCGCCGATCACACAGCAGTCAGTGCTTTGTGCTGCCAATCTGAACCCTGACAACACATGTGAGACGTGCTTGAACTAAGATACACACTGATCTGCCGTGTACGCACGCCACAATAGATGTGTGTGCTGTACAGCCGCTGTAGAACTCACGGTTGGTTGCCGCTCTGTGTACAAAATCGTGCGCTGCTCAAGATACTGCATATTATCTACAATTCCTCACCACACTCATCCGATCATGATCATTGCTCAAGTGTGAGGATACATGTACGTTCCGTTGGTCAAACGTTTCGGCGGTCGGGGGCGGCCCAAGGCTGTCGCATATTCAGTCTCACAGAAAGGTGTGCGGCGTGCGCAAGAAAAAGAAAAACGAAAAAAATATACCACATACTCTTTATTTTCAAGTAATTTGACGGAATGAATTCTCGGATATAACATAGGGTAGTATGTTGTATTGTGCTGCCGAGTACAATGGCGGACGAACTACGGTTTCCCCCTAGGAGTAGCTCGTTTATGTTTGTTCAGAAGGATCGAGCTCGTGCGTGAAAAAACAGTCTCTCGTGGGTCGGCTCATACTAAATAATCGATGATTTTTTTTACCAGTAGACCGTCGGTAGACTAAACGACAGCAAACAATATATATACATGTGGTCCGCACATTGTACTCGTAAAACGACAACGTCGGCTGTATCAATGAGTGATTTTGGTGTGGGCTATGCACCAACACAGTAATGGGAAAATTGCATACAATCTCCCTCACTGCTGACATTTTCGCGAAATCGCCCAAGTTCCGTCCATGCGCCGTCCATGGGCACACGAACTACCCGCGAGGTGCTTACCGTGTGAACTTCAACCCAGAACGTAGACAGCGACAACCCAGCACGTGTCATGTGGGCTTGGGGTCAGGGTTAGGGTTATACATAGTACAACGGACGGGTGGCTCGAAAGGACGATTCGCAGGGATGCCGCGCCGAACACGGCAAGGGGGAAATCTGGACGGAAGATAATATCTGCGGTAGCTCCGTTTGGTGGTGAAGAGACCATACCGCTCGGCCAAGAGTCGGGTCCACCACTCCGTATCGTGATTCCTGCGATAACTGATTCTTGAGAAAGGGGCGACCTAATTTCATCGAACTGCAGTCGCATTGAGGCTGATACCTCTTCGTGGGACCCCGTAACATCGACTGAAACTCCATCTGTAGGTTACACTCGAATCTAGTCGCAACCGAAGGGACAAAGGAGAGATTCACGGGAAAATTGTTGACTCAACGCCTGCTTGGTCTGGTTAATGACCAATGTCGGTTGTCAGCCAGCCTACGGAATGAAAGACGGATAGAAGTGTAACTCATGCCAAATATTGCGTATCGTACCTCTACAGAAGCACTACTCATGATCGATCTCCTTTGCCTCTGCAACATCTCGAGCATAGAGTTTTTCCCACTGATATTTTTGTGAGAATATCAACAGTTTCAAACAATGCCGCTGTTTCTTGTCAGCAATTTTCGATCTCCTTCCGTGGCATTTGGCCGGTCCTTCGAGTAACCTCACGACAAATATTTGAACATGTGATACTCCTTCCCAACGATTCTCTCTATTCCTTGGGAATATGTTTTCCCGAGACATGTCAAAGTAACTGCCAAACGCGTCGAAAAGAAAAATACAAACCGCGACGAAAAGGTCAGGCTAACGAAGTACAATACAAAACATGGCCAAAACCACGTGCTGTAACACTGCCCGTTAAGGAACTGCCGACATATTGGCGTAAGAATGACGAGGTGGAACTATCATCGACGGCTTCAGAAGCGCTGACCTTGATTTTCCACTATCGTCTTATGTTGTTGCTCGATAAATCGGAAAAACAACGTTGCCGCACCCCATCGTGTGCATGGCACTTACAAACGCGACAGTTTTTCACCTGGAAGCTTCCTCGTCCTCCAATGCCCTCCGCATGTTTCCGCGATAGCTTTTGTCGCTGTCCGCCTCACCACCAAATGCGTAATCTGCTGGGTTTCACAGTAGTGATGCTGATTTGTTCCTGAAACAACCTCGGCAGCCACGGAGCTGCCGGCCTTATGCAATTCATCCCATACTGTATTCGGGAGCCGCGAAAACCTTCGACATACCGTAGGCTGCATGAGGGTTAGCATTCTGGGCCGATATTCAAAGCACAAATTCTCGACTGGATAATTGGAACCGTCGCGTCGAGCGTTTTCCCAGAACGGGTCACTTGAACTCGGTATGCTCTTCGTTGTGGAGTAATCAAGCTTTGAAATCGGTCCAGCGGGTGTGGTGTCTTATTCAACCTACGGTAACCGTTGGTTTATAGGGGGGAGGGGTCCAAGTCGTCCAAGTCGATTATACACCCTTCTAATCAAGCAACCACACCAACAACATCCGGTCGGGCATGCGGGGCACTTACATCCGTTGCAGTCGATCCACCCGGGATCCTTGACGCCATTGCTGTCGTTGCCGCGCGTCTCGCGTTGGCCTTCGAATGCCCACCACGTGCTTGAGGTTGTCCGGTCCTTGCATATGGGAACGTTTCATGGTGGCATTTGAGTTGGAGCCAAATGTACGTGATGTTACCTGAATGAATGAATGATGTTACCTGAATTTGCATGCAAAAGACCTAGTTCCCTCGGTTGCTCCGCCGTTCAATTGATGTTCGAGTAAATGGTGTTGATGATAAGTCGGGAGGTCGAATCTCATTGGAGAGCTCCGTAAATTCGGTTGCCGTGGTACCCTCGTTGTTCAAAATGTTCCGCATGCCGACGGGTATGAATGAAAGAACAAGCTGCTGAACAGCTCTTGTCACGACTTGCGATCGAGGGCGCTCTTCGGTCGTCGGTTGGGACCACTGGTGGAGGGTGCCGGCGACGACAGCAAACGCCGAGCGAGCTCGAAGAAGCTGGAAAGCCTATCTCGCTTTGCCGAAAACGAATAGCAGCGCGCTCACGCCCTAGTATGCATATGTTCGTACACGGACAAGGGCCTACCGATGCTTCAGAGCACCACGCGCACCGTCTCGTGCCGCAAATTATTTGTCGAGGAGCGGGGTACCCAGTCTTCGTCAGAGAGGGACGTACGTTGTTCGTGCAGACGATCTGCCGAAGAACAAACAACCGTGTCGTTTTCGCCACCACGGCATCCGTACCATGCCGGAAGTCTGGCTGTCTGTGGGCGGTCAACACCTGCACAATTCAAGTCAAGGTCGTACCACGAGGGATCAAGGTAGAATTATCGAACGAAATCTGAAACACCTGGCAAACCCGCTAAATGATCGGGAACAAGCGAGTTTTTCGAACGACCATCGAGGGCGACATATCTGTGAATAGCAACGAACTTTGTTAGGGACGTGACAGGCGGGGAATGGGATACTGCATCCAGATGATGCACAAGATTGGTCGCCCTCATAACTCGCTCGAACAGTGTGCAGAGTCCTTCCATGTCGCACAGGGCAACCAAGTGGTATACCAGCACAGCAAGGACACAAGGAGGAGGCGAGGCCACGTTCGAAAAGGACCTGATTGAATGTAAAATAGACTTCGTTTCAGTAGCAGCCAAGCAACCAATCTTGCTGCGTAGCCATACGCATACATTGTCAATGGTCATAGACCGCAGAAATTCCATGATCCCTATCGACTTTTCACCGGCCAACGTTCCTTGCCTACCTTCCAATATCCAGCAGAAAGGATGGATCCCAGTCCCGTGTTTAAGCGCAACGCTTGTAGCGCCACGTGCCCACGGCGAGAGCTCCATCGCCGGCGTAAGGCCCAGTTCAGCGCGAACGCCGGAAACACGAGATTGATCTATTTCATGGGTTGCATGGAAACATTAACACGCCAATCATTGCGCCATCTGTGCTCCACGGGTTTTTACATATTCTTATGTCCAACATGATTGGAAAAACAACACCCCACGACCGCTAGGTGCAAAACATGTTCAAGTGCAATAGTGGGGAATCGGGAAAGCGACATATGTTGTTGTGTCATTATGAGTGCCTGCACACTATCCTCATATGTGTCGGACAATAATTCGTATTGATCTTGCAACTCTGAAAGAGGGACAGGGTGTGACATGTACTTAACAAGCACTACAATAACATGAAATATCGTGTTGTATTTCAACAGTACTCTTTGTACCGTACGTGGCCCAGTGACGTGAGTTACACGTATTGAAGAAACAATACAGATCAAAGTACAGTCTTCAATACATTTGTAGGGGAAATATTTTTGGCAGGAGTCCGTGCAATACGTGTTGTTCAACATGTCACACTCGAACATTGAAACTTCAGCACTTCCACATATGACTTCAATACCTTTGGCGTGCAAACACGACGCCCCGAAAACGATATTTGCACCATGTCTTCAAATGTCAATACTACGTCATCTCTGGTGTTCAATATGTGTGGCCTACGGATAATCAATACCTCGAGCGAAAAAAAGTCCAATACGTGTTGCCAGTACAATACATCCATCTACAGGAGCCGTGTGCAGACGTATTGCGCCTTCAAACCAAAAGTGCGACTGAGGCTCAACATGTGTTGTTGCGGCATGCTCCAAGGGAGCCCAAAACGACAGAAAACCCCCGTTAAAGGCAGTCATGTCAACATAAAGTATCGAAAATGTATTGGCGTGTTGTGTTGTCTACAGTAGAGTATTCCAGAGCGCTCTCAACACCCTCCAATCCCCCCTCGCCTTCACGGGAATTTGCTGTGAATTTCCCACAACAGATGGATGCCGCATGGGGTCCGAAAGGACAACACAAGTATTAATATCCCGAACCTTTCTCAGGTTCGCGCAACCCTCCACCTCCCAATATCTATCCGACACGAGACTCTCGCTTCTTCGCCGACAAACACCAAATGAGGAGGCAAAGAGGCCGAGCTGTGTTGAAACTGCCGCTTCGCTTCCCGTCTACTACTACTGCTGTAGTCCATGTCAGAGCTGGGTCCGGGCTCCTCCTCCTCTTCGAGCTGTGCCACCTTTCACCTTCGAAGGTTCAGTCAGACGGGTGTGGATCGCTGCCGGTATGTGCTGAGCATCGAGCTCAGGAATGCAGTAAGGATAAGGTGACGGGGGTCCACCGGAGACCGCTTTCTCGTCTTTGCACTATCTGCGACGCAGATTCTGGCTCGAGCACTGCCGATGCTGGCGGAAGCGCGAGAATGTCCTGCGCGATGATCTTCAGCGATGGGCAGATCGTGTCCGTGTTAAACTCGGTCGAAATCTGGACACGAACAAACACGTAGTGAGTAAGCACCAGCTACATTTCTTCTAGTTTTCTATGAGTGCTAATCCATGCAAAGCGCATATATTCGTTTACTTTCTTCGTTCGCTTTATCTTCTCCTGTGGGCGAGAAGACCTCAAGAAGAGAAAATTCCACTTCGACATCACCCCATCCCCTTACCTTATGGGCGTAGAATGGCTGAAGTCGTTTGATACAAAGCCAACCCCACGACTCGACTTTCACTAGAAGTCGTACAAACGGATACACAGCGGATCGGGCACGCCGCTGCAGCGCCGGCCTACCTATGGGTAGGCCGAGTACAGTATGCTCACTACTGCATTCCTTCACGTTTTCACCGCCGTTTGTGAATCCTGGCGTGGTGAATCCTCCGACGGTACACGCTTCCAGCTGCGGCTGGTAGAATGGCAAATATTCCAATGGCGACCATAGCCGCATGATGGGATTCGCTGCCCCCGGAGGTGCCACTGCTGCCCGTTCCGTTGCCGCCTGTGCCGTCGCATTTTTTGCCCGAGGTAGTATCATTGCTGCCCGTGGCCGCTGCCTTCCGGGCTCGTTCTTCGGTGATCGGCTCTTGCCGTACTTGTTTCCGTAACGCTTCGAACCTTCCGCGTGTCCACGGCAGTCGCCGCAAGGTCCTCCACCGGTCGTTCCTCTACCGTCCACGCACCAGGCTTCTCCTTCCCACGTTCCGGCGCGACCTTGAAAATCCTCAGCGGAACTTCGAGGTTCAGCGTGTTCGTATGGAGCGCAAGGAGGTTTTTCGTCTCCCTTGGCGGCATAGGGGCTCGCTGGTGGACTGGTAGTACTTGATTGTGTTCTTCATCTCCTTCTGGATGCTGGAGACTTCCTCCAACTACCAAGAAAGGAGGATTACTGAAATCGCAGGCGCCGCCAGTCGGACAGCGGTGTTGCTGGTGTTGCTGTGAAGTTCGAAAGGTCTAACCCTGAACCCTTACGCTTTCAGCCCATAGTTGCAAAACACCAATTTTGACCGGAAGTTTTCACTCTTGTTCAGAGAAGGGCACTACCGAGAGGCTAGAAACAATATGAGGTTTTGTGCGTACGATGATGGTGCGGCACGGACGGGACAGATAGATGCATCCACAACAACGTTAAACAAAGGCATCACTCACAGGATACGTTGTTGGCAACTTCTTAATTGTAAATGCAACCCCCTCAAAATTTCTCGCACAACAGGCATGCCCTCTACAGGTCCTGACAGGGACCTCTCGTCCGAGTCTAACCTCTTTGTGATTGTCCAATAAGGGGAAGCGTGTGTCCCAGTGGCCAAGCTACAAGCTGTTGACGCTTGATGAGCATGACGTCTAAGACGTTTGTGATGCTGACCTATCGATATTGGTATTGAAGAGACGCCCGTCCCCGCCATCGGCGTTGACCGCCTCCACGGTAAAATCCTCCAGCTGGGTCTGTTGAGCGCGCAAGGAACAAAAAAAGGACCACGGACAAACTCCAAACATGCGTTACAATCTTGGCACGTGGATGGATTTCCTACGAGCGCACACTCACATTCTGCGTATCAGAGGGAAGCAAAACGCCCGCGCAAACTCTAAAGCTGCGACATCCTTTCAGGGGGCTCTCCCCCTTCCCGACCTCGCGGTAGACAATAGAAGAAAGCGGTTGAACACACCAACTCCGCGCCCAAGTCATCAAAGAACGATTGATCTCCCCGTCTGAGTTTGATGAAACGCTATCGGCATTCACGAGGGACACAGTGCTGGCATTGGTGTTTGGTTTTGTCCTCCACAAAGAACCAACATTACAAAAATCATGGCCCTTACGTCATGTTCATACTTAACCACAAACAACGAGGTACAAACAAATGAAGAACAAGGTCCGCAGCAGGGATGCTCCGAGCAGCTATAGCTATGCATACGAGAAACCAGAAAATAGATAGGGCGAGTCCGTGTCCGTGCCCCTACTAGTTACACCGGCCTCTTCCATCGCGGAGATATTCACCGACTCTGTCGTTCTTTCCCAAGTATTTCCCAAAAGTGTGAGGGGCTCCGGAAAATGTATGCAGCTTTCCTTCCGATCCAACAAAAATATATCAAGCGTTGCTGAAGGTATACCTTCGCTCTGGCGCATTGGTTCACAAGCTAAGCCACCTCCTTGCAGTCGGCTCTGGCGCATTGGTTCACAAGCTAAGCCACCTCCTTGCAGTCGGCGACCAACTCTTTGCACATCTCGGTCTTGGTGATCTTTCCGCTGCCAGTGTCATCGATGGTCGCACTGTTGAAAAGATGGAAGGGGCACCAGAGCCGTGGCCACGTACTTCCAGCCCCAGTCCTCTCGTGCTGCCCCCCGTCGGTCGTCGCGGTTGCGACTTTCTCCTCCTTCAAACCAAACTGCTCGGACACCTGGTTCGCCCACAGCTTAAATGCTGCGTTCTGGAAAAAACCCTGGCGATGTAGGGCCCAGGGTCGGGAGCGTGTCAACGAACAAAGTGTACCATAGTTTGTATTTTTACGGCGGTTGAACCGAATCCCCACGCCTGGCAACAAGAGCGCCATACCCTTGCTGTATACACTCGAGCGGCCACTCCTTCAGCATTCATTCACGTATAGCCGAGCGTGGGTGGAACTACTAATACTTTCGGCGTTGTGAGCAGAAACCGATTCGTATATCATTCCGGCGTTGTTCGAGATCGCGGCGCTCAAACGCAAGACGTGCGTGGGCCTTCGTGACAAGCCACAACGTAGGTACGACGAGGAGAGTGGAAAATTTGGTGTGCAAGATCACTTTCGTTGGAGCTAAAGAACCAGTAAGCTCTGCCGCGTATGCGTTGGCGACAAAAGCAAGACGAGCAAGCCTCGTGTCGAACTGCAACAAGCAATACTTCACACAAAAACAATAGACACAAACCCTTTTTACGCACCACCCCATAAAACAAGGACGACCCGCAGATCTGTGCGGAGCGTCCGTAGGGTAGCATCGCATATAACAACATATTCGCCTGATTGAGAGCGAAGTATCTGATTGAGAGCGAGAGCCAAAAAAATTGAAATTTCGGGTCCAGACGCCTCTTGCCATTTCTTGGCAAGTAGGGGACGGGCTATTCCAAGAAGCGGTGCAAATTGAAGGTCTCATCAGCAGCTTCGCGAGCATATGCGTGTCATCGTCATCGGATGCTGCAGCGAGGAGCTAGACAAGTTGCTAGATTTGCCCAGATTGGCTATTTCTGCTCAAACTGTTTCAGGGCGGTATCGCGTCGGGCGGTGGGCTCTGCTGTAGCTTCTGCTCCCCGCTGTAGCTCCACAACGAGAGACTCCCACAGGATGACCAGGGTAGCGGCTTGAAGCTACGGGCTAGCCCTTCAATTCAAGCTACACAGCAAGCTCCACCTCTCAGTGGTAGTCCGGCTACAGCGTATCGCGCAATCTCGCTCTCAATCAGATGCTACGCTCTCAATCAGGCGAATATGTTGTTATATCTCGTTGATCGTGTGCTTCGCCTGTAGACCATAGAGCAAGCGTGCGGACAGCAGATGGACGTCAGATTGGTCTGATGTTGATGTTGCGCAAACCATCTCGGTACACAACTCGTCTAGCGGGTCGACCAGTTGAAGTGTCCAAATCCTTCTCACCCGCTCCTCGTTCAGGCTTCTGACGTCGATGATGTCGTTCATCATCCCCATGTATTAGCGCCGCTCTGAAGTTGACATGAAATCACCTCTCCTGGTTTTCCGTTATGATGGGGTCGGCCTGGTTTTCCATGAAGACGGGGTCCGTCTTCCCATGGGCAGCCATTATGCATAGACAATTACTTCCGTATTCTCGTCCTTCGGTCGTTGCATCACTACTAATTCATTGTGCGTCGCCTCCGCTGTGCAAAACAAATGAGAACGAACGATTTTTCCTTTGCGCAACAACACATTTTCGTTCCTCATATTACAAAACTCAACCCGCACACACTTGCCATCGCCGTACAACCTACGAGCTTAGCGGCGACCGCGAAGCGCCCTTCGACATACTGAACGAAACACACACACAATTGCTTTCGCAGTGCACATGAGTGTCATGTGCAGCCTCCCTTTCAAGTGATGGGAAACTGCGCAAGAGCCCGCGCACAGCCCAGGATCAAAAATAACAAAAGAAACGTCCACGGCCACATGCATATTCTTTGTTCCTGTTGTTGAATTTTACAGTTAGTTCCACTTCTTTGGTCCGACATCTGTCACATATGCATACGGAGGAATAAAATTCCTTGTAAAATCCACGTTCGGGCAGCAGCGTGGCTTTGTGACGACACGCTGCCCGCGTAGAAGACCGCACGACCGCGTCACCCCGTACAAGTAGAGCCAACATCATCTTTGATATACCTACTACCCGGTCTGATGGAGGGGTGTCAATGATTAAATCGAACACAACAGTTGTGTATAAATTAATCATTTCGACTCTTTTGGTCGTTACGTTCTCCTTAGATTTTCTTCTGCATGGGACTCAAGAAGACCCGTCGGTACATCGCCCGCTATGCGTGGGTCTCGCGAGACATTGGTGGTGCGTGTGCTGGCCAACTTAAGTCGCTGGGACTGGCTCCACTTCTAGGGCCTGCGAGCCCGAACAAAACTTCAGGTGTATGGACTACATGAACATTGCAATCACTGACGGGCGGGGTGTTTTCACTTTGGCGGTCTGCTTACTTATTGCAGCGCGTGTCTTGTCCATGATCAGGTTTGCGCTTTTTGTCTGTGTTGCGAGCATCCACGATTTTGCCAGACCAGCAGGGCGCTGGAGGTCAACACACGTGGTACATTGCAGCTTAATCAAGACGCACAGATCCCCCCACGAACATTCAACAGCCTTGGCATCCGAAAGGTTTCGGTGGTAACTGAGTGATAATATTTTCAACCAGCAACCCACAGCACAGCAAGTCCCGCGCGTGCCACAAGCACAGCACAGGTGTCAACCACAGATGTAAACGGCGGTTTCTCATGGCCGCAAAGGGGGCAAGGCTTGTTGTTGCTCGTGGGAACACACCACACGACC